TCTCTTGGACCCGTCTTGTGTGTAGATGCACAGCCATCCGCAGGGTGAAGTCTTAGAATCCAACTTGGCAGCACCCTGCTGTCCGTCTGTAATGCTGGGTGTCCAGACAAAAGTCTCTTTGGAGAAGTCTAAATTCAAGGCTTCTTAAGGACCTTTCATTTCTGAGGGTTTGGGGCTCAAAGCTGAATCCTAGATCCTTGTTTTCAGATCTCAAGTTCTCCCAGGCCCCAGTCTCCGTTTCAGGCCCAAATTCTGAGACTTTGAACCCAAATTCTACAGTCTTTCTCTCTCTCTCTCTCTTTGCCAGAGGCTGTGTGCACTCTTCAGAGAGAGAGAGAGTGAGGAGGAAGAGAGAGAAAGCACCCCCTGCAACAAGGCATGGTCACACGGCAGTCCTTTCTCCATCTCTCCATCCTGTCAGAATTTGGGGTATGCATGCTTTTTCAAGCTGCCAGGGTCAAGATTTGAACCATGCAGTCAGCCCTTGACCACTAGTCTATGGAGCTGGCCCCCAAGTTCCTCAGTCTTGGATTTGGAGGTCAGCTTGGCTTGGTGGAAGGGACAAGGGAGGACACAGTGGCGGAGTCTGCTCTGCAGTCTCCCCTTCCCACTGCCCTGGGCCACTTTACCTCCCTGAGCTGCAGTGTTCCTACTCTGTGTAGCAGGAGGGCTGTATGGGAGTCTTCCGGCTCTAGCACTGGGTGCTCGTCTCTAGGATTCTCCAGCTTGGATACCTGACCTGGATCCCACCTCTGGCTTCTCCACGTCCTCTCTCTGACTTTGTCCACTTGTGCTCAGTCCAGCACGAGGTTCAAGAGCAGAACGTTGGAGTCAGATTGATGTGTCCTTCTCAGCCACTTCCTACTTCACTTCTCTGGACCTCAGTGTCCTCATCTCTAAAACAGAAGTAATAATACCGACCTCCCACGCTGACAGAAGAGCTGTCACACAGCAAACCCACAAGAAATGCTAGCTGCTGCCACTATTATTAGTATTATCTCACATTTCTGCTCCTAGTTCTACAATTTTGGATTTGGAAAGGCAGCTTGGTGGGGAGAGAGAAGCGTGGCTTTCTCCGTCTCATTGTCCCTAGCTGTGGGGTCCTACGTCCAGAGCCTGTGACAGGACCTGATCTCGTGGTAGACTTTTTTTTGGAGAGGTTTTTGCTGTAGGGCATGTGCACTCGCCAGACAGACAGACAGAGAGAGAAAGCGAGAAATTACCCCCCGGGGGGGATGCCCGGGCCACAATCCCTTCTCCTCCATTCTCCTCTCGGGATCTTGGGCACGCACACATACGTGCCCAGCATGAGGTTAAGCCACCGGGTCTGGGACTCAAACTGCAGTTGACTATGTGGGAGTCCAGCGACAGCCATTATGCCAACTACTGGTCCCTCTCATGGTAGATGTTTTTTTTTATTTTTTGGAGAGATTTTCACTAAAGGGCGCGTGCGCTTACCAGACAGAGAGAGACATAGAGACAGAAAGCGAGAAATCACCCCCCAGGGGGGATGGTCACGCCACAATCCCTTCTCCTCCATTCTCCTCTGGGGATCTTCGGCACACACACACACTTGCCCGGCGTGAGTTTTAAGCCACCGGGTCCGGGACGTGAACCGCAGTCGACTATGTGGGAGTCCAGCGACATAGCCATTACACTAACTACTGGTTCCCTCATGGTAGATTTTAACCTGTCACTGTGTAACAAACCACCTGAGTTCTCAGAGGCTGAAAACAATAGCAGGTTATCATTTTTTAAAGGATTCTGTGGGTCAGCTGAGCAGTTTTCAGCTCATCTCACCTGGGCTCACTGGCTGTACTCTGTGCTGGCTTGGCTGGGTGGGAGGGTTCAGCATGGCCACTGGCAGGGGGCTGTGCAACAGTGCAGTACAAAAACGTGGCACTCTACAAGGCCGACTCACATGAGAAGGTTCTGGGTTTATGTCTGGAGACCTCCCTGAGGGCACCATGATCCACGGCTGGTGGAGGGTGGAGCATGGCATCAGGACCCTGTTACACTACCTGTTTCTCTGTCTCTCGGTCATGGAAGAAATGAGTAAATACACTTTAAAACAATCAATGGCAGAACGGCCATTGATGCTGGCTGGTGGGCAGACACTCAGCGGGCTGTTGGCCAGCCACTCAGTTCACTCCTCCTCCAGGAGGTCTTAGATTTCTTGGCGTGGTGGTCCCAAGAACTTCTCTGAAGGCCGAGGGTCTGGAATTCACACAGCATCACTTCTGTAACATTTTGTTGGCTAAAGCAGGCCATCAGACCTGCTCAGACCCAGTGGGTGTGGAAATGGACTCCACCCATTAACGGGAGATGCAGCAAAATACTGTAGTCACGTCTACCACAGGGGTCAGTAATTACGTGCTGAACGAATGAGAGAGGTGACGGAGGTCACTTGAACTCCGTGAACTTTGGTGTCTACATGTGTAAAACGAATCTAATAATACCTCCCATGTAAGGCCACTGTGAGGAATTAAAGGATGCGGTGGAGAGATCACATCAGGACAGGTGCCCATGACACAGCACTGTGGATTCTGTGGACCTCATTACCAAAGCTCTTCCCCCTGGGTGTTTCCTGTGTCCTAAGTCCTTTTGTTCGTTAGGCCAAAGTGACACTATGAACACCTTTTAGACAACTTCGTCAAGACGAATCTCTTCTCTTTTTCTTCCTCCCTCCCTCCCTCCCTCCCTCCCTTCCTTCCTTCCTTCCTTCCTTTTTTAAGGTTTTTGCCATAGGGCACATGCAGTTGCGGGAGAGAGACAGTGAGAGGAAAAGTGAGAAATCACCTCCCAGAGGGAATGGCCACACTACAATCCCTTTTCCGTTTTCCTTTTGGGATTTTTGGGCATGCAAGCACATGCATCCAGCAGGATTTTTAAGCCACCAGTTCCAGGACTCAAATTGTGGTCAGCCATGTGGGAGTCCAGCGCCTTAGTCACCACACCACCTGCTGACCCCAGCCTCCCCTTTTCTTAAGTGTATTTATTTCATGAGAGTGACACAGGCATCCCCAGCAGGGTCTGCATGTCATGAGCTGCTTCAGCAGCCTGGATCACAGACGTGTGCTGTGCCCCTGGGTTGCAGATGTGTGCTGTGCCCCTGGATCACAGACGTGTGCCGTGCCCCTGGATTACAGACGTGTGCCGTGCCCCTGGGTTGCAGACGTGTGCTGTGCCCCTGGATCACAGATGTGTGCCATGCCCCTGGGTTGCAGACATGTGGTGTACCCCTGGCATTTACAGAGAGGCTCCAGGATATGAACCTGGGACCTTCCCACGTGGGCCCAGTTGGGTTACTGCTGTGCCACCGTCTCCACAGGGCTCCGAGCTTCCCTTTTATCCCCATCATCTTCATGTGTCTCCTCTCACTAGCACTTGGAATGTTCTTTCTGCTTTTATTTCTTTGGCACAATGGGGTTGGGGAAGTTTGTGTGAGATGCTCAGGCCTGTTTCCCTCATGGAGTTGGACTGGAGCTAAATCCTAGCTGGGGGGATCCTCTTTGATCAATGTAGCAAAAGGCTGTAGGCTAGAGCTTGCAAATGACAGGCGTGTTTGTTCGGCCTGCATAGCATTATTTTAAAAAAATCGATATTAGACAACATGGTGGTTAAAGTGCTGGACACCCACATAGCTGACCATGCTTCGAGTCCTGTTGCTTGAAAACCATGCCAGACATGTGTGTATACACTTTCCCTCTCTTTCTCTGTCGAGTGCATGCACTCTGTAACAAAAAACTATTTTTTTAGAATTATTTTATTTAACTTTATTTATTTATTCATTTATTTCTTTTAAATTTGACTAGAGAGGGACAGAGAAAGAGATAGAGAAAGTGAGAACCCAGGGCCAGCAGGTGGTTAAAGGTGCTGGGTTCTCACATGGCCAACCACAGTTTGAATATGGCAGCTTGCTTTCTCCCTCTCCCTTTCTCTCTCTGATCAAATTAAATAACAACAACAACAACGAATGGAATTAAATAAATAATTCTTTAAAAAAAAAAAAGTGAGAAAGCAAGCCACCAGGTCTGGGACTCAGACCACGATTGGCCACGTGGGTGTCCAGTGTCCTTTACCACGCCACCTGCTGGCTCTGCAAAAAAACTTAAAAAAAAAAGAAAAACTTACATTAATTGCTAACATTTATTTATTTATTCAAAAAATATTTTATTTTATTTATTCATTTACTTATTTTCATTTGACCAGAGAAAGACACACAGAGAGAAGGAAGGTGAGAAAGCAAGCCACCGAGTCTGGGACTTGAACCGTGGTCGACCATGTGGGAGTGTCTCGCGCCTTAACCTCCATACCTCCTACTGGCCCCAATTACTAACATTTATAAACAGATATTACAAAACTATCCAGGATTTCTGAATTCTCTTGAAATTGCACTACCTGGTCTCTCAGGCCTGTTTCCCTCATGGAGTTGGGCTGGAGCTAAAGCCTAGCTGGGGGGATCCTCTTTGATCCACTGGTGCTCATGAAGCTGGTTTGGTGAGTCACTGCTGGCTACGTTAAAGAGCGAAGTAGAACAGACCATAGATCCCAAGGGTGAGGACTGTTTTTATGAAATTAAGTCCAGTCATGTGCGTGCTTGTGTGGGGGCTGCAAGGTAAATGATCTCTTACTGTGGGTCGGAATGAAGAACTGGAAGGCCTCTGTTCCCGTCTGGTACAAGCTCTGTCCCACCTGATTCACTGTGCAGTTACCTCGTCCCTTGGAGGTGTTTGGCTGGTAAAGGTGAAAGTGGCTCCTTGCAGGCTCTGAGGGGCTGGTGGGATCCTGTGCCTTTGCCCTGGCCTTCAGGGCTTCTCCCTGCTCTGAGCATTTGCAACCATGAAAAGTACGCAGGGAGTCCGTGGTCCCTATGCCGAAGGCAGGTTCCCGATCTAGCTTTCTGGTCTAGGCCTTCGGGCCCCAGCCTGGGGTCTGGGCTCCTCGCCTCAGCACCCAGATGCCCAGTGTCTGATCCCTGTTCTCTTTTGCCCACCCAGGAGAACCCGTACGTCATGCGTCGGCCCAACTTCCAGGCCCTGTCTGGGAACGAGCGCTTTGAGGGCTTTTGCGTGGACATGCTGCGGGAGCTGGCCGAGCTGCTGCGCTTCCGCTACCGCCTGCGGCTGGTGGAGGATGGGCTGTACGGGGCACCCGAGCCCAACGGCTCCTGGACAGGCATGGTTGGCGAGCTCATCAACCGGGTACGGTGGGGCCTGGGCTGTGGGCCCAGCCAGTGAGGGAGGGTGGGCAGGCAGCCCATCGAGCCTCAGAACCAGCCTGGCCTGAGCTCGAGGAAGCGTTGTAGGTGTCCGCCCTCGCTGACCGTGCACCGCGTGCCTGTGCCTGGTGAGTGCATGGGGCGGGATGGGGAGGCGTGGCCGCACTTCACCTCCTCTGTCCTGCTCTGCCAGGTGCCCCCTTCAGGCCACTGTGGCTTTGTCAGTGCTCAAGGTTAGTGAGTGAATGGGGGCCAGCAGATGGCGTAGTAGTTAAGGTGCTGGACTCTCACCTGGCTGACCGCAATTCGAGTCCCAGACCTGGTGACTTGAAACTCAAGCCAGGCGTGTGTGCCCAAAATCCCGAGAGGATAATGGAGGAGAAGGGATTGGGGCCTGGCCACCCTCTGATGGGAACTGATTCCTCACTTTTTCTCTGTCTCTCCAGCGAGCGCATGTGCCCTGTAGCAAAAAAATCTCTATTTAAAAAAAGATTTGTTGAGTGAGTGAAAAACCATGTAGTGGGAATCTGACATAGGCCTGAGGTAGGTGAGGGAGGCTTCCTGGAGGAGGCTGGGCTGAAAGCAGAGATGGCACCTCATTGGTGGTCTCTATCCAGTACCTGCCAGGGAGGGCCTGGCACCATGGCGTCATCCAGGGCTGCCCGCTGAGATCACAAAGCCATTCCTTCAGTGGGTGTTTACTGAGCACCTACTACATGCCTTGCTCCTTGCTGGGCATTGGGTACAGCTGTGAGCACGGTGGACCTGAGCCCTGTCCCCAAGACTGTAGTCTCATCAGGGTGCAAGGAAGCAAATGGCCATAGCACAGGGCCGTCTGCATTGTGATGGGGCTCCTGACCCAGCTGGGGCCATCTGGAGAGGGCTTCCCAGAAGAGGTGACACCCAAACTGATTTCCAAAGGGCTCGAAGGAGTCAGGGCTTGGTGCTGCCTGGGGTGGGGTTGCAGGAGAGTGGACTCAGGTTTTCTTTCATGAAGGGAGCTGGGGGAGGCAAGGGGAACAGCACTGACAAGGCCAGGGGCTGGGAGTCAGTATAACGGAGGCAGGGTTTGGATGGAGGTGAGGAGGGGTGAGGCGGGGCGCGGGAGACGGTAGGCCAGGGCACAGTAGAGAGAGTGTTTGGAGTCAGGTCAACTTGGATTTGAATTCTAATTTGAGTCTGAATCTCGGTCTTGCCCTCTAAGGAGGGGACAGTAATACTCAAAGGGGAGGTATGGAGGGTTACAGGAAGCAGGGACATGTACTTACACCTGGCTTGTCAGAGAGAGGGGGACTGGTACGGAGTCCCTTTCTTCATTCCAGGTGGGAGAAACCACAAGGGCAAATGCCCAGAGGCAGGGCTGCACCATGGGAGGCAGACAGGCCCCATTAGGGCACACCCAGGGCTGGTGTGCAGGGCAGTCAGGCTGCCCTGACATTGGCTCAGTGCAGTCTCTCTTGTCTCTCCCATGCCAGAATTTTCTGCGTCTCAGCCCTTGAATGCCACCAGGGTAGACAGAGAAGGCCACTTGACTTGACAAGGACGTTTATCCCTTAGGGCGCTGATTTTCAAAAGTTATTTTGACAGCAGAACTCCCCCCCTCCCCCAATTGAAAGCTCCCTCAGAACCCTGGACAAAGGCAGAGGCTATGTACAGTCGAGGTGGGCTGGTCTCCCCACCCCACCCTATAGGCAGCCCTGAGGCACTGTCCTCTGATTTGAAAGCTTCTGCCCAGGTGGGTTTGAAGAAGTGGAAGAGGCCTCTGAACTGATGGGAGGTGGGGTCCAGAGCCTTGCTGGCCGCTTCCCTGTTTACAAGCCCCTCCTCAGTCACAGAGGCTCAGAAACTCCTTCACTGGACCCCTGGAGATAAACACGCTCCAGGGGAGTAGACCCCCAGCTGAAGTCACTGTTCGTTGGATTCCAGTTCACTCAACAAAGAAGCCTTCTGGAATAGTCCAAGAGCATAACCTGGGACTAGAGTTGGCCTTTGTGCCTGAGGGAGTGGGCTACCCTGGAAGGCGGGCGAGAGGATTCGGTGCCAGGAAAAGCTCAGCGCAGCGGCTGAGAGCCTTGGTGGCTGGTTGCTGTGTTTACAGTCCTGAGTCTTCCAGCCTGGGCTCTGCTGTGCACTTGCTGTGTGACTTGGGCACAGCACCTCACCTCCCTGCAACGGAGCTTCTTCAACTGGGAAGTCGGAGGGCGCAGCCCCGGTGTATAAGGTTGCTGTGAGCGTGAGATAGACCCTGGCGTGGACCTGTTCTCCATCCAGGTGGTATTCACAGAGCGCCTGCTGTCTGCCAGGCCCCGTGTGGTACCCTCGGGACGGAGGTGAAGGAGCCAGACTGGGCCTGGCTCTTACGCTCGCTCGAGTAGGTTAGCGTGTGGGCCCCAGCAGGAGGTTTTGAGCTACTTCAAGTGAATCTACCTGGGGGTTGGTGAGTCGGGGACAGGGCTGTGGGCGGCGGTGCTTACAGGATGACCAGCAAGGACAGCAGAGATAGTGGCCCGGGGAAGGGCTGGAGAGCACCAGGGCTCGGTGACCGCCTGCGGTGGGGAACGTGGGAGAGAGGACTCAGCTTTCTTTCGTGTCTGGCTTGGGCAGCTGGCGACGACGATGACATTTACCAAGAGAACACTGGAGGAGGAGCAGGCTGGAGTGCAGAGGAGGGGCGGGGGTTGGCGGGGGGGAGGCAAAGGCAGAGGCTATGTACAGTCGAGGTGGGCTGGTCTCCCCACCCCACCCTATAGGCAGCCCTGAGGCACTGTCCTCTGATTTGAAAGCTTCTGCCCAGGTGGGTTTGAAGAAGTGGAAGAGGCCTCTGAACTGATGGGAGGTGGGGTCCAGAGCCTTGCTGGCCGCTTCCCTGTTTACAAGCCCCTCCTCAGTCACAGAGGCTCAGAAACTCCTTCACTGGACCCCTGGAGATAAACACGCTCCAGGGGAGTAGACCCCCAGCTGAAGTCACTGTTCGTTGGATTCCAGTTCACTCAACAAAGAAGCCTTCTGGAATAGTCCAAGAGCATAACCTGGGACTAGAGTTGGCCTTTGTGCCTGAGGGAGTGGGCTACCCTGGAAGGCGGGCGAGAGGATTCGGTGCCAGGAAAAGCTCAGCGCAGCGGCTGAGAGCCTTGGTGGCTGGTTGCTGTGTTTACAGTCCTGAGTCTTCCAGCCTGGGCTCTGCTGTGCACTTGCTGTGTGACTTGGGCACAGCACCTCACCTCCCTGCAACGGAGCTTCTTCAACTGGGAAGTCGGAGGGCGCAGCCCCGGTGTATAAGGTTGCTGTGAGCGTGAGATAGACCCTGGCGTGGACCTGTTCTCCATCCAGGTGGTATTCACAGAGCGCCTGCTGTCTGCCAGGCCCCGTGTGGTACCCTCGGGACGGAGGTGAAGGAGCCAGACTGGGCCTGGCTCTTACGCTCGCTCGAGTAGGTTAGCGTGTGGGCCCCAGCAGGAGGTTTTGAGCTACTTCAAGTGAATCTACCTGGGGGTTGGTGAGTCGGGGACAGGGCTGTGGGCGGCGGTGCTTACAGGATGACCAGCAAGGACAGCAGAGATAGTGGCCCGGGGAAGGGCTGGAGAGCACCAGGGCTCGGTGACCGCCTGCGGTGGGGAACGTGGGAGAGAGGACTCAGCTTTCTTTCGTGTCTGGCTTGGGCAGCTGGCGACGACGATGACATTTACCAAGAGAACACTGGAGGAGGAGCAGGCTGGAGTGCAGAGGAGGGGCGGGGTTTGGCGGGGCTGAGTCCGAGCTGCCGGCTGGCAGCATCGTGGCAGCAGCAGTCCCGGTGGTTGTGTTGACTTCGCACCACGTGCCAGCAACTTTTCAAGTATTACTTAAATTAATTCTCATAACGATTCTTCCTGCCTTTCTGCCTCTGAGAGAATCTGGGAATCGCTCAGTGGCGAACGGACTTAGCCCCAGCTGACAGGGCCGCAGCCAGGCATGTCTGACCCAAGGCCCGTGCTTTCCAGACCTCCGGGACCCTGGGAAGCTGGAGTAATCAGGGCAGTGTTCACTGCTGTTGATCGCGTGCTCATGCCGTACCAGGCCTTGTCCAAGCTTCTGACTAGTCCTCACTCCTCGAACCCTGAGGGCCACCCCACAAGGCGGGGACTGGTATTAGCCCTGTTTTCTCAAATGCACAGAGCCAGGCACAAGGTACCACGTGCAGGCCACACAGCAGAGTGGAGGAGCCAAGGAAGGTACCCCAAAAGCTGGCCCTGAGCTGGTGAGTGACTTCCAGATGGAAGACAGCCCAGGGCTGGCATCTCCCCAGACAGCCCCTAGCCAGGCACAGGGCACCTTGGCCAGGCTCAAATTATGACTCATTTATTCCACCCAGTGGCCACTGGTGGAAGGAGCCTTTTCCTCCCTACTTGCCCTGCCCCTCGCAGCCTCCTGGCCTCAGTTCTCTCTGTGCCCCACTTTGTCCTCCAGCATGGTCTCTCTGTAGCGCATGTCTAACTCATCCCTCACTCCCTTGGGCTGTAACCTCTCAGGGCCCTCAGGACAGTCCGAGCCTTCTGGCCTTGCCCTCAACAGTAGAGCAGGTGTCTTAGGTCAGGGTCCTGAGAAGCAGACTCTGAGATTTACAGGCAGAAGGTGTTTCGGAGTACCCTAGAAACCCACCCCATGGGGGAGTAGAGGAAGCAGACTTGAGCTGAGGGGCCGAGCTGTGACATAGCTATAATTGTACCGCAGCATCCTTAGGCCTTCAAGGCAGTGACCCCTGAAGTAAGGGGCCAGGACTTTTATTTTTAAATTGCCAGAAGGCATATGCATTCACTAGAGAGAGTGAGAGAGAGCAAGAGCATGTGTGCACGAGAGAGAGCGCGTGCAGCTCCCGATAGGATGTGGCCACGCTACAATCCCTTCTCCACCTCTCCATCCCATCAGGATTTGGGCATGCGTGCACACAAACCCAGCATGTTTTCAAGCCACTGGGGCCAGGACTTGAGCTGCAGTTGACCGTCG